ATTTTTTCCTTCCTTTCCACATGACTTTGCCGGCAAAGTAAAGGTCTCTGACTAAAGTAGAATTTCTAAAGAAGGCACATGTTCACTCATGTAAGTGCATTATGCGCAAATCGTATATATCGCGTATGAAGATCGTTACGCGTCGTAGAACGACTCGTCTCATGCAGTGTTTCTCGCGATGGGGATTGCCTTTTTCTTAAATGAAAAGAAAGAAAGAAAAAAAAATACTTGTGTATATGAAAACCGTGGCCAGCTCGTTGACCTTCTTATCCCGTCTTCAAACATAAAACTTTTGTCTACTCTCACCTCCACTTTAGTCCTCTTCTTCAACTAACAATCTCGGAAGTAATTTAGAAAAAAAGAAACGAAGAAAAAAGCAAAAGAAGAAACAACGAAAAGAGAAAAAAGGTAAAAGCAAAAGAAGAAACAACGAACAGAGGAAAAAGCAAAAGAAGAAAAAACGAAAAGGAGAAAAAAGGCAAAAGAAGAAACGGGAAAAATTCTTTTTTTTTTGTGACTAATTGAAAAATTTGAGGCAATTATGAAATATTTGTATATATATATGTACCTAAATTGTGGTGGTAGTGAGCATTCTGACAATTCCAAGGGACCAATTGGATTGGAATGCGGGGACATTGACAAACGGAAAAGAAGAGGACTCCCAAGTGGGGGGGTAGAGAAGAAGAAGAAGAGAAAAAAAAGATGATGAAGAAGAAGAAAGTTGAGCAGTGGGAGAAAGAAGAAACGAAAAGACCAATCACACTAAAGTGACAGAAAAGAGAAGAAACCAGATGACATCTTTGTCGGCTCGGTTGATTCTGACTCATATCCAGTTAGACATTTTTACTGGCCTCTTTTGCGTCTTTTTAAAAGAGTATATACATAAGATTGGAGCACCCCCGCTATTTCTTTTGTAAAATCCTCTCACCTTTAAGTGTCTCTCTTTTCCTTATGTAACTCTCAAGGCCCGCATTTGTCGTTTAGATGAAAGCCTTGAATTCCACAAGACCACCACCATCACAACCCTAATGCTTTTTCAAAAACTCCCTATAATTCCTATTCACACAAATCCGATTTTATCAAAAATTTCCAAACACATCCTGCTCTCGCACATCAAATCAATCTATAAATAAATATGTCATATTTCAAAATAGAAAAAAAATTCAATTTTCTAAAAGAGTCACATTTGATTTCATGCGGTAAATAAAATTTTCCACCCGGATCTTTATATATAGAATTTTTTAGAGATTTTTATTGAGATGTTGATAGAAATTTTGATAGAGATGTTGATAGAAATTTTGACAGAGATATTTATAGAAATTTTGATACAGATGTTTGTAGAAAATAAAGTATTTTTATAGAGTTATTGTCAGTAGAGATTTTTTACAGTTTACAAAAAGAGGCTAGTCTAAATTTTTCTTTTCTAAATCGAAGAGAATAAAAATGGTAACCGGGTTCACTTTGTGAATGTTCGGAGGCAACTGAAGACTAAAAATCAAGAGGAGGCTGCTTCTCTATATCGAGTTGATACAGGAGGCCAACTTGTTGTGACTTGTTTGCAAAGGGCAAGATGATAATATTCGCTATTCACTATGGAATGAAAGGGAAAGCTGGACCTTATGAAACCACATAGTTCTTGTAAATCACGACCTTCAAATCGTCACGATAATTCAAATTTGCAAATTTTTCTCTCATTACAACTACTCCGACGCGACAGTAAAAGATGTTACAAAACTTTCCTTTACGTTTATTAACTCGTAAAATACATAATATAGAAAATTTGATAGTTTTCCCAGTAATGTTCCAATGTTCATCTAATAACTTGTATTTTACAACCCATTATTATCAATTTTATGACGAAATTTTACAATAATTTTATTTCCACTACTTTTTAAATTGTAATTTACAATTAGTTTAGTATAAATAGACGATGCAATTCAAAGATAAATGTTTGTGATGCTCTGAAGAGGGATTTTAGAACACTTGAAACAAGATTTATTTTAAACTGAATTTTTACTGATCCACAGGCTTCATAACACGATAATTAATTTTAAAAAAGTAGCTTAAAAACAGAAAAAAAATTCCTGCGAAGAATTTTATTATTTATAAAAATAATTGAATTCTTGCGAACAATTTTATAAAAATCTATTTAAATACTCGATTTTTTAAAAACATATTAGGAAGAAAATTCTGTTTCAAATAATTGAATTCCAGTGAAAATTTTTTTATTGATGAAAATAATTGAATTTAGGAGAAGAATTACCTTATTTATAAAATAATTGAAATTTTGACGAGATTTGTATTATAATTTTTGAAAATAATTAAATTTCGGGGAAGAATTTCATTATTCATAAAAATAAATGAAATTTTGACGAAATTTTTGTGAAAATTTTGAAAATAATTGATTATTGATGAAAAATTTTATTATTTATAAAAATAATTGAAATTTTGACAAAATTTTTGTTAAAAATTTTAAAATAATTGAAATTTCGTCAAGAATTTTTGAAGATAATTGAATTTCTGGGAAGAATTTTATTATTCATAAAAATAATTGGATTTAAATTTAAAAACTTTTTTTAAATAATTTAATTGCAGTGAAAATTTTTTTATTGATGAAAATAATTAAATTTAGGAGAAGAATTACATTATTTATAAAAATAATTGAAATTTTGACGAAATTTTTGTTAAACTTTGAAAATAATTGATTATTGGAGAAGAATTTTATTATTTATAAAAATAATTGAAATTTTGACAAAATTTTTGTTAACATTTTTAAAATAATTGAAAATTCGTCAAGAATTTTATTAAAATTTTTGAAAATAATTAAATTTCGGGGAAGAATTTCATTATTCATAAAAATAATTCAATTTTTGGGAAGAATTTTATAAAAAAATTTTGAAAATAATTGAATTTCGGGGAAGAATTTTATTATTCATAAAAATAATTGGATTTTTGCGAAGAATTTTATAAAAATTTTTGAAAATAATTAAATTTCTGCATTGTTTTTTAATATTTATAAAAATAATGGAATTCTTGCGAAGAATTTTATAAAAATCTATTTAAATAATTGACTTTTTTTAAAAAAATATTTGAAAACTTCTGTTTTAAATAATTGAATTCCTATGAAAATTTTTTTATTTATGAAAATAATTGAATTTCGGAGAAGAATTTTATTATTCGTAAAAATAATTGGAGAATAATAAAAATAATCTTGGAGAAGAACTTTATTATTTATAAAATTAATTAAACTTTTAACGAGATATTTATTACAATTTTTGAAAATAATTGAATTTCGGGGAAGAATTTTATTATTCATAAAAATAATTAAAATTTTCTGGATATTTTTAAAAAGTTTTTGAAAATAATTGATTTTTGAAGAAGAATTTAATATTATTTATAAAAGTAATTGAAAGAGGGATGAGATTTTTATTAACATTTTTGAAAATAATTAAATTGTTGCAAAAGATTTTATTAAAAATTATGTAAATAATTGAATTCTTGCGAAGAATTTAATAAAAATCTATTTAAATAATTGATTTTTTTCTAATATAATATTAGGAAAATTCTGTTTTAAATAGTTGTATTCCTGTGAAAATTTTTTTATTTATGAAAATAATTGAATGCTTGTGAAGAATTAAAAATTTTTTTGAAATTATTCAATTCTTTTGGGAAATTTTTTATTAAAATAGTAGATATTAAAAATCATTGAATTACTAAAAATTTGTGAAAATAATTGAATCGTTTTAAAGAATTTTATTAAAATATTTTGAATTTTTTCGAATAACTTTATTAAAATTTGTTAAAATAATTTTTTTATTTCAACTGATAACAAATTTAAAGTAAATTTTCAAACATGGAGAAAAGTAGCTTTTAATGTAACAAATAGAAGAAAATAACCAAATAGTAGCAAATAGTAAAAAAAAAAGTGGTAAATAGTAGGTTTTAGTAGATAAGTGCGAACCATTTACTTGATGCACTTTTTTCTAAGGATATCAAATTGAGACAAAAAAGTAATCAAAAGTGTTGTGAAGCAGCACTTTTGATTTCATTTTTTGTGTTGCTATTGTTGTATTTTTTATGTTGCAATTCAACACTTTTGATTCCTTTTTTGTCTCAATTTACTATATCCTTAGAAAAACTATGATGGCTAAACTTTTTTAAAATGTAGGTACTCATTCAAATTTAGAGATTAATTTCCCGGCATTTTTAAATCAAAAATAAACTTCAATCATTCACTATACCAGGAAACTGTGTTCTCTCAAGATTTCTCCGCAACAATTCCAAAAGACATGTGACTCATCCTATTAAATGCAGAACTCGGTTCATATCTCATGTAACGCGCTCGCGCATGTTAGTTTGCACTTAGATTTTGAAGTGCACCTGCTATTCTCATAGTAAACGTGTGATGCCTTGGCTATTTTCTCATTTCAAAAAAGAAAAGAAAAAAGGGGTAAAAAAAGAAAGGAGAACATCACTAGCTACGCCACTGGGGAAATAATCCCCGACGACAGCTGCCTTCTACGTTCAAATACCAACCAAACAAGAATTATATATGTGGAATCTGATATCTTTTCAAAGAACCTTTTAGAGATTGCATTTTCCGTCAAATATTAACTATATATTCTTTCCCTCTATAATGTATCTCGGTATTATGTATATACGGATAGGTTACACCCCATTTTACCTCATCATCCCGGGTATTTTTAATTTTATGTAATTACACTTCTGATTCGAACCTGATGATAATGGATAGCAGAAGTTTATTTTTAGGGATATTTTTTTTACATTGAAATCAAAGTTCGATCTGGCACGCGGGAATTTGCGTAAAATGATTTTAAACCAATATATAAAAGGGGGACTATTCGTGATGATTGCTTAAGGATATCAAATTGAGACAAAAAAAAAGGATCAAACATGTTGCTTCGCAACACTTTTGATCCTTTTTTTTTGTCTCAATTTGATATCCTCGGAAAAACTGTGAGTATGATTATTATTCTTACCCAAAAGAGCTGCGTTGCATTAGTAGAAGTAGTTCGACAACTTACCTGAAACAAATAAGAAATATTTTGTTAGTAAACTGACATCAAGTTTGAATCTGAAGTCAAAATTAAAAATATTTAAAATTCTGGCTACAAAATATCGATCAAAAAAGATTCAAAAAGATCTTCTTTTTAAGATTCTCCAATAGGGGCCAGACAGGGTGGCGCGACTTTTGTCTTGCCCCTATAGGACTCGGTCACTTGAATAGGGTTCAACTAATTTGAAAACATAATTCAGCATTTGCAATTAACTGAACAATAACGAATAGAACCTAAAATTCCTGAATTATTTTCAATTCTCATGGCATTGCATTATAATGAAACATTTAATTGAATTCACGATCATTTAAAGAAACATTAATTAAACCATCAATATTATCTTTATACATCGAAAGCAAATAATATCGAAAAACTCAAAAAATGTTGAATAATCATTAATACGGTACTGTTAAATTTTATTACGCCCAAGGCAGTAAAAGTGTTGATGCAATTATATTATACCTTCATTACTGAATTGTCGGATGACATTTTATTCGTTTTATTAAATGGGGCGTTCCATTGAGAAGAGAATCTAATTTAGCTTGCAAATATAAAAGGCGTGCGCATCTGGAGTAATAAGAATAAATGTTAATAGTCGTGTAATCTACATACCTAATCACATATACGCATCTTTCTTTGTAAAGGATCCAAAAAAAAAAAAAAAAAATGGTAAAGCAAAGAAAAAAAACAAAAAAAAAAAGTTGCACTTGGAGAGAATAGTAGGACGAGTCATCTGGGTGTTGAAAGACCGCATGTTTTCTGGGTTTTGTAACGGAAAAGGCAAATTCTCTTCTACATTTATATTGCATATGTATTATAAAGGACGCGTGGAGTTTTTCCATTACACTTTCCCACACACCTTTCAAAGAAATGAGCCTGTGTGAAAATGCCCATTATGGCGATCCTCATAGACCATTTGCATTTGACCTCTTAAGACTCTTAATATGCGGCAGCATATTATATATACCAGTTTTCATATATATAAATAAAAAAGAGTATATTTAAAAGAATCCTCGATATTATATAAATTGTAATACTCAGCTTTAAAACCGGAAAGATAAACCAGTTTTAAGGAGCTATGTAAAAATTTTATTCAAATGAGCCGTAATCGTAAACCGCTAATTATCAGTCCAAAAAGGATAAGAATTCTCTTCAATGAATACATCAATGAATTTCTTAAAAGTATCAAATTGATCATATTGATTTATTTGCCTAAAATTTATATCAGTTTTTGATTATTGATCATTTTTTTTTTATTATTGATTCGTTGCAATTTGATACTTTTATGATAACAAAGAGTAAATTCCCATTGATTGTGCGTCGATAAAATTGTTTAGCGAATAAAAACGAAAAAAGAAAAGCAGATTTCGCAGAAGATAATTAATTTTAAAAAAAGTTGCAAAAAGTAGATTTCAAATTAAAAAAAGAAGTAAAAAAGTAGCTATCGAAAAATTAAACTTGACGACAAAAAAAAACTCGTTTTAGACACTTCACAAAATTGACGAAAATTCTATTCTATATTTTATTTTCCAGACTTTTTCCTAATTTTTATAAAAATAATTTAATTCTTGCGAAGAATTTTATAAAACTTCTTAAATAACTGCTTTCATTCGACTAATTTTATGTAAATTCTAATTAAAATAATTGAATTCTTATGAAGATTTTTACAAAATTTTTTTTAAATAATTGAATTCTGTTTGGAAATTTTATAAAAATTGTAGACGTAGAAAATCATTAAATTGTGAAAAGTTTTTAGTTAAATAATTAAATTTTACAAGGAATTCTATTAAAATTTTTGACAATAATTGAATGTCTGTGTGGTATCTTATTAAATTTTTTTTTGAAAATAATTTAACTTCTAATAATCATTTAATTATTTACAAATGAGAACGATTTTATTAGTATTTTTTTAAAATAATAAAATTTCCAAGAAAAAAATGTATTACTTTTAAAAATAATTTAATTTTGTGATAAATATTGTTATTCATTAAAAATAATTGAATTTTGCAAAGAATTTTATTAAAATGCTTCAAAATAATTGAATTTTTGTGAATAATTTTGTTATTTATCTTTAATAATTGAATTCTTTCGAAAAATTATTTATAAAAATAATTGAATTCTAAGCAAGAATTTTATTAAAATCTAAAAGAATAATTGACTTATTTCAAAAAATAATTTAATTAAAATTGTATTTAAAAGAATTGATTTCTTTATAACAATTTATTATATTAAAATATTCGAAAACAGTTGAACTACTGTGAAAAATTCTAATACTTTTGAAAATTATTGAATTCTCTCAAAGAATTTAAAAAAAAATTTTTTTCAAGGAATTAAAATTATATTTTTAAGAATAATCATTTTCTTGAGCAATTCCTGTAAAATTGTATTAAAAATAATTAAAATTCTGAGGTAAATTCTATTATTTATGAAAGAATTTAAATATTTATAAAAATAATTTAATTTTTGTGAAGAATTTTATAAAAATTTATAAATAATTGATTTTTTTCGACTAATTCTTTGCAAATTCTAATTTAAATAATTGAATTCCTGGGAATTTTTTAATTATTCACGAAAAAAATTGAATTCTTATGCAAATTTTTGTAAAAAATTTTTTAAATAATTGAATTCTCTTTAAATTGAATTAAAATTTTTGACAATAATTGAATGTCTGTGTGGTATTTTAATAAATTTTTTGAAAATAATTGAATTCCTAAAAAACATTTTATTGTTTATGAATGCAAACGATTTAATTGAATTATTTTTAAAAAAATTAATTAAAATTGTAGGTATTTAAAACATTTGATTTCTTTCGAACAATTTTAATAAAATATTTGAAAATAATTGAATTCTTGTGAAAAAATTCTAATATTTCTGTAAATAATTGAACTCTTCCAAAGAATTACAAAAAAAACATTTTTTTTTAAATAATTGTATTTTTTTCAAGGAATTGAAATTAAATTTTTAAGAATAATTTCATTTTTTGAATAATTTCTGTAAAATTGTATTAAATATAATTGAAATCCACTTATGAATTTTATTAATTATATGAAAATAATTGAATACTTCCTAAGAATTTTATTAAAATTTTCTAAAAATTGAATTATTGAGAAAAATTCTATTAAACTGTTTAAAAATAATTGAATTCCTGTGAAAAATTCTAATATCTTTTGTAAATTATGAAATTCTTCGAAAGAATTTTAGAAAATAATTTTTTTTAAATAATTGTTTTTTTTATAATAATTATTATGAAAATTTTTATTTTAAATAATTGAATTCTTATTGAAAACTTTATTTGTGAAAATAATTGAATTTTTCGATTAATTAATCAAAAATAATTGAAATTCTTCGATGAGTTTTTATTATTTTTGAAAATAATTGAATTCTTGCTTAGAATTTTATCAAAATTTAAAAAAAAATTGAATTTCCTAAAAAAAATTTTTATTATTAGTGAAAGTAATTGAATTATTTTGACGAATTGTATAAAAATTTTGTCAAATAATTAATTTTTTCGAAATTTTTTGAAAATGCTATTCTAAATTAAGTGAATTTTTTGGGGGGGGAAATTTGATTATTTATGAAAATAATTGAATTTTGGATGAATTATATTAATTTTCTTTTTAAATAATTGAATTCTTTTGCAAAATTTTATGAAAATACTAGATTTTGAATATAAATTGAATTTCGAATATTTTTTTAAAGTAATTGAATCGTTTTAAAGAATTTGATTATAATTTTTGAGAATATTTTTTCTTTATTTCTAGTATATTAGCGAATTTAAAGTATAGTAGAAATTCTAAAAAAATTAGCAAATACAACTAATTAAAAATTAGTTTTTTTTTTACATCTTTTTGGTTTTTTTGTTTTCTTTTTCTTATTTTCTTCATTTTTATTTTGTTTTTAGTTTTCTTTTCTTTTCTTCTTTTAAAAATTTTCGCCTCTCGTTACACACACATTGTTGACTGGTAGAAAGTATCAGAGATAACTGTTTTGGTGTCGTTAAGATATATCCAGCTGTGAGATGCTGTTGATCCTGAGCAGATGCAAGTTCCTCTTCATGAGGAATGCAATGTGACATATCATTCAGTGTTGGAGGAATATAAGAGAGAGAAAAAAAGCGTTTTTAATTAATTTTCCCTTCTGTGAACACCCGCAGGAGGCCACGAATACAACCACAAAGCAAAGCTAACAGTTTTTTTTTTTTTATTTTTATTTCTCCTATTTGTCAGCGAACTACTCATATGAGTTAGGTACAAATAACCCATTATTTCCTATTGAGGAAAAGTCAGCTGTTTCTAAAAAATAAAAACCACAACTGGCGGCCCACAGTCTGCTCGTTCCATAAAGAATTTTCTGAACCTTATAATACTTAGATACTTAATGTCAATAATATAGAAATTTATTATCAATTGTATATAAAAACGACGTTAAATATTATCGAAGATGTTCTTTGTACCTTCAAGAAATTATTAGAAGATTCCCCTTCTAATAATTTCTTGAAGGTACAAAAAATTTCTCATTTAAAAAAAACACCAAAAGATTAGATTTTTTATTAAAGGATTAAATAAAAATTTAACTAAAACAATTGTCAAAAATACTAGTTCAAAAAATACTAGTTATAATTTCACCTCGAATTTCACTAAAGAAATAAAAAATCCAATCTACATTTTCTGAATAATATAAAAATATTTCAAAAGAATTTTTTGTATAAAAAAAAATGAGAAATTCTGAACAAAAATCGAGATTCAAATAATAATGTCACACCTCAATTTAAACATTCGCAAAGTTTTAAATGAAATTCATACACTACACCCGGAGAAAGTTGGATTATCTCTCTCTCAACTCATTGTGTGTATTGTGATAATAGGGAATAAAGTATACGTGCACAAAATTTATATTCTATTATTTGTTGAATGCGAGTGATTTTAGAATATTGCCCTTTAATTTCAAACAATAGCAAGTGGCATAAA